CATACCACATCAAGGGCACAGAAATGCTAGTATTTGAGTACCTTGGAAGTGCCGGAGGAAGCAGAACATGGGTACAAGTTCAATCTTGAAATTTCCCCATTGGCAGAAAAATTAAAGCTTGAGAAGTCCACTTTGGGATGCAAAACCCTAGAATTTCCATGGAATGGGCAATGAGCAGCAGCAGTACCCATCAAGAAAAATTGGGCCGGGTTTAATACCCCAATGGGCTGGAAAAATTATTGGTTACGTGGCCTTTTTTGGGTGGATAATTGATTACGTGGCCATGTCTCACACTAATATGATTGGTATATTTTTTAGTTATTCAACACAAATTTATAGGATCCACTATCCTCTATTACTCACAATACTATTAAACACCACATGACAGTGGCCCAAACTAGCCAATAACTTCCCCAATGGGCTGACCAATATGTGAATGATCTTTGGACTCACATACTAGTCCATGCAAAAAATTTTGGGATTCTATTTGCACTTAAATAATACTTCAGTATGTTTAACTAAAATTTAAAATCTTAATTTCTATTATATTCTAATTTAAATTTATTAATAAGGATAATACAAATTAAATCTTCAAAATAAAATAATTTTTTTCTCATGGTATACTCAAATCATTCATACGTATTTTTCATATACGACTTTTTTTTTTATCTTCTCTTAGGTTTCAATTATTTTCTTTTTATCTTCTTATTTCCTCTAAAACTTCAATTCACCCCACCAAAAATCTTCGAGGTCACAATCTTCTTCGACCTATTTCTACTTTAACAACAATACAAAAAATTATATATATATATATATATATCATATATTACTGTTTTTTTAATGTATATAAAAATTATATATAATCAATTGACGACCTAACGGTTTACTCAAATCCTTTACCAGAATTGCTTGATTTTCCTAGATAACGGACATTGATAAACACAAAAATATACATATAAAGGGAGAGAAAGAGAGTGAGAGAGACCCTGTTATTTGATCAATTCCTCTTGCTTATCAAATCCGTTATTCCCCTATTTATTCTTCCTCTCACACACACGATTCTCTAGAGGGAATTTTGACGATCAATTATATTTAGAAATTTTGTTTATTGTTTTGCAAGTATCAAAGAACTTCATAGATCTGGTGTGGCTACATGCAATTTTATTTTCTGAATGATTACGTTGGGTTTGATTGGAAGATTTAAGAAAGGATTTAAAAAGGAAAAAGAAAATGATAAGTAAAATATAAATAAAATATATTTATATTTAGTTTCACATACTTTTTCTTTTTCTTTTTTCAAATCTTTTTTCAAAATTTTCAACCAAATACAGTGAGTTTTAAATATCAACAATGATAGAGAGTTTTAATTATGGAGCTCTAAAGAGAGCTTTAATGATGTGATAAGAGAAAAAAATTAAAATAAAAACAAAAACATAGACACATATTACACCACATATGAGCTCCACTCTTTGTTACAGACCTCTCTTTAAAACTCTAAAATTAAAACTCTCAATCTTTATTATTTAAATATATATAATGGATGCCCACGATCTTCCGTCGTTGTAGGAAGGAATTGAAATGAAGCCGGCAACAAGAGTTGAAACCACTAGTGAATCAAAGATAAACAAGTGAACTCATGTGAATGTGAAAGAGGTTTTGAATTTTTGATTTATTTATTATTTGGGTGTATTTTGAAGGATAATTTGGAAAAATAAAATAAAATAAAGGTGTATTGGGAATAAATTATAATTCTAAATAATTGAATAGAATGTATTGAGAAATTAAGTGTACTTTATTATTTTTTGAATGCAAATAGAATTCTTTAGAAATTTTAGTTATTATTACATCATGTAAAGACAAAACTTAGAATATTCAAATAATTTATAAGGTATGTAAATGTGTAAATTAGGAGTTATTTGAGGGTAATTTAAATAAGTGTATTTATTTAGGTTATATTATTTCTTTATTTTTTTATACATCTTTTCATAAAAAATTAAAAAATATACTAAATAAACAAACTCCAAACAATCCCTAAGCTCTCACTTGGAAGGCATGCTCCATGTTGACTAAAGTTGTAACGTCTTGTTAGTTGTTTGCATAAAAGTAAAGCTATGTGACTGTATTTAGTGACTGTATTTACGTATTATATTTAGGGGACTTTCTTATGTAACAGGACCCTTTAGGGGACCCTTATTTGATGTCACCTCTTATATAACATAATAAAAATATTAAATATATAGTAGGTAACTATTAGGATTTGGCAAAATATCACTCAATCTATTAAAATTGTACCGATCTGTATTAATTCGCACCACTTTATCCGCTAATCGCGGTTTAAATTTTAAAATTTATAATCTGCTTTCGAAACCGCTTCGCTCTCTTGTAGTTAATACATATATATATATATATATATATATATTTTTAATTTATAACAAAATATCAAAGTAAAAATGAATGTGAGAGAAATTTAACATGTGAAATTTATTACAAATTAGTAATTATATATACAAAAAAAATTATGTAAAATTAATTTGTGTTATGTATAGGAAAAATATTATGCAAGTTAGTGTTATATGTTATGTAAAAATTTGAAAATTGATTAGAATATTCTTTAATCCGGCAATCCGCTCAAATCACAATTTGTCAATTTGACAATCTGTTAATCCGTCATTCAATTTATAATTTTACTCTTAAACCATCCAAACTACACCGCATACACCGCTAATAACTACTATTCGCTTTTCTTGTCGTTTATTATCGACAGTGATTATGGAAGCTCAAAATTTACTCACTTGAGCCCAATCTAAATAAAGACTAAACAATATGTCAAGCCCAAGTAAAGAAGTCCATTAGACAACACAACTAGGGCAGGATCACTATCTCTATAAAAAGAAGACCACCTCTTGAAAGAGAGGTATGCCTTAATTCCTACCTACACTGAAAGTTATCTACTTCTCTTTTCAGTTTCACAACAAGAGTTCTAACTTTATCATCAGACTGTCTTCAGCCAAAAACCACCGATCGGTTCGCATCAATGATGATTTTAATGTGATATTTTATCTTATTGGCTAAAATAAGCATGTTTTGTCTTTATTGGTTAATTTAGTCCCAAACTTGCATCCCAAACAACCCCCTGTAATATTGATTATTACCTATTATGATTATTATTTTAATTATAATCAAAGTGATCTTTGATTATGTTTCAAATTGTGTTTGGCTATGACTCATTATTGTAATTATTTTAATTATGACTTAAAATAATTTAATTACAATAATATATTATTAACATTACAAATCTATCTATATATTATATAAGTAAAAGGGGATTTTTAATATTGAGAGCTCTAAAAATTCAAAACTCCAATCTATTTATGTTGATTTTTTGTTATTTTTTAAAAAGAGAAAAATATCATTGGCTATTAAAAATTGAAATTTAAAGTTTAAAATTTAAATATCATTGACTATTGAATTCACCAATGATTTAAGAATTCAAATTTCAAAATTTTATACCTAACAATATACACATATTTTAAGGAATTGCTTTCCATAATAAAAATATACTATATATTTTACCTAACTAATTAATCTTTCTTTTACTACGAATTACTAAATCCTTTCCTCAAAAAAAAAAAAAAAAAAAAAGGCTTCTATTTCACTGCATTCACGTAAAATATTATTATCTACAAGAAATATTCTTTACATATCTCTCTCTCTCTCTCTCTCTCAAATGGTGATTATTAAAATTTCATTTGGTGTTTAAAACTTTTTTTTTTTTTTTTTGCCTTTTATTCAAACTTAATCTCTATGTCCATTCGGCCTTTGTTAACAATAGATCAGGCCCATATATGACAATAACCATGGATGCCTCCTTCAATTTCTAAGGTAACTACAAATACTTGTTGGCCTCAATGCTAGGTTTGAGATTTTTTGCATATTTGTTATTTCTAAGATATATAATACGTCATTGTGCCATATATTATTAAAAGTTTGTGATTGATTATAACTCTATCAAATAGATTATAAATAAAATTTTTTAAAAAAAGAATTGTATCATTTATTCATTTTATATATGTAGTTTTTAAAAATCAATAATTATATTTTTCATAATTTTCATTTTCAATTTGATTTAGTAACTGTTTAATATATCAATTAGTGTGTTTCTTAGGTGTAATGTATACAAGTGACATAAAATTAGTGTGTTTTCGAGAGAAAAAAAAAAATGATCTAAGAGACTTTAAGAATTTCTAAACATTAATATAAATTTTTTAATTTTAATAGTTAAGAAAAACAAGTGATATAAAATTACTAGCATATTTAATTGTATCAATAATTTCAGGACTAATTACAATAACAGTTCCTATAGTTTGGGACTTGTATCACTTTGGTTCCACTACAAAAAATTCAGGTTTTTGCGACGGTAAAATGTCGTCGCTAATACTCTTAATGCCGTCTCAAAAAACTTTTAACGACAACAAATGACTTTTAGTGAAGGCAAAGGGAGGGGTCATAACAGAGGGCGTTGCAAAAAAAATTTAGCGACGACATCATGCCGTTATCTTCTTTTTGCGACGGCAATTGTTCCTTTTTGCAACGGCACTTTACTGTCACCAACAATATGTAAAAAAGTGAGAACTTTTGCGACGACACTGTTTTATCGTCACTAAAAGTCTTATTTGAGACGGCAAGTAATGCAGTCGCGAATTGTGTTTTTTTTTTTTGCGACGGTGTGGTTGTAATGCCGTACAAAAAAGAAAAAAACACCTGCAAATATAATTATTAAAAATATTAAAATTACCTTCTTTTTTTTGTGACGGTGTGGTGCCGTCGCACAAAAAAAAAATTATTAAAAATATTAAACTACCTGTATTAAATGAAAAATAATTGAAAAAGAAATCAATAATTGCATAATAATATAAAAATTTCTGTATAGAAATAACAATTTCTCCATAATAAAAACATTCTTTCATCCATAACTACACATCAACAAAATTGCCCCACTACATAATATTTCATAATACATATATAATGTTTAAATACATAAAGTTGTTCATAATTCAAAATAACGTAAACCAAAATTAAAAGTTTTCCTCATCATTTTCTGTGGGTAACAAAAACAAAAGTTAGTCGCCTTTTTCACAAGCATGTATTCTACAAGAAGCAAACTCCTACTCAGGAAATATCTGAAAACAAAAAATAAAAATAATTAGTAACAATATAATTATGTGTTAATATGTTAATTACAAAAAAATATAAAAATTTAACTACTATACAATTATAAAGATAATTAAGTAAATAATTTTGCCTAGACTGAAATCCGACTTTAACTCCTAAGCCGAGAACGCGATTCGAATCTCGTCCTCTCCCACAAGTCTCTTGTGCCTAGACGGTAATGTGTGTAAAGTTTCGTGCTAATCCAACGCCATTTGGTGATTTTGGGGCGTCAACACCTCAAATTCTAAGTTTCTTAAGGAACTATTTTGTCTAGCGTAAAATCCGGCTCGAACTCCCAAACCGAAAACCCGATTCGAGTCCCGTCTTCTCCCACAAGTCTCTTGTGCCTAGGCGGTCGTGTGTGCCAAGTTTCATGCTATTCCGATGCCGTTTGGTGATTTTGGGCCGTCAACACCTCGAATTCTAAGTTTCTTAAGGAATTGGTATGCCTAGAGTGAAATCCGACTCTAACTCCCAAACTAGGAACCCGATTCGAGTCCCATCTTCTCCTACAAGTCTCTCGTTCCTAGGTGGTCATGTGTGCCAAGTTTCGTGCTACTCAAACGCCGTTTGGTGATTTTGGGGCGTTAACACCTCGAATTCTAAATTTTTTAAGAAATTAACTTGTCTAGAATGAAATCCGACTCTAACTCTCAAACCGGGAATCCAATTCGAGTCCTGCCTTCTCCTACAAGTCTCTCGTGCCTAGGCGGTCATGTATGCCAAGTTTTGTGCTAATCCGACTTCGTTTGGTGATTTTGAGGCGTTAACACCTCGAATTCTAAGTTTCTTAAGAAACTAGTTTGTCTAGAGTGAAATCTGGCTCTAACTCCCAAACCGGGAATCCGATTCAAGTCTCGTATTCTCCCACAAGTCTCTCGTGCCTAGGGCTGCAAATGAACAGAGCCGTTCATGAACAAGCTCGAGCTCGGCTCGGTAAGAGCTCGTTCGAACTCGGTTCGTTAATTTTTTTTGCCGTTCAAGCTCGAGCTCGAGCTCGTTAAATTTTTAATAAAGAAGCCCAAACAGTCTAAAGCTCGGCTCATTAGCTGGCTCGTTTAATATTTATTATTTATATATTAAATAATATAAAAATATGTATAAAAAATTGGAGAAATATGCTATTTATATATTGAAAAAATATAAATGTAAATAATAGTTAACTATGGATAGTACATTTATATAATAGTGGTAGTAGAAATTATTATTTTAATAAACTATGAACTTTTTTTTAGTATGTTTATATATATTGTATTTATAACTGTATAATCAAAGTTTTAATTGTAATTTTAGTCTCACATGCAAGTATGAATTTATAAATTTTTTGGCTCGTTAAGGCTTGTGAACAAGCTCGAGCTCGATTCGAGCCTAAGCCAACTCAGCTCGAGCTCAGTTCATTAAATTTTTATTCAGCTCGAGTTCGTTAAAATCTTCATAAACAAGCCTAAACATAGTAAAGCTCGGCTTGGCTCGGCTCGGCTCGTTTGCAGCCCTATTTCTAGTTGGAGATTAAGACTGGCTCGTGCAGTCTACAACGTAGGCCCAATTCGGCTCGTTTGCAGCCCTACTAGGCAGTCGTGTGTGCCAAGTTTTGTGCTACTCCGACGCCGTTTGGTGATTTTAGGGCGTTAACACCTCGAATTCTAAGTTTCTTTAGAAACTAGTTTGTTTAGAGTAAAATCCAGCTCTAACTCCCAAACCGAGAACCCGATTCGAGTCCCGTCTTCTCCTAGAAGTCTCTCATGCCTAGGTGGCCATATGTACCAAGTTTTGTGCTAATCCGACGCCGTTTGCTGATTTTGGGGCGTCAATACTTCGAATTTTAAGTTTCTTAATAAACTAATTTGCCTAGAGTAAAATCTGACTCTAACTCCCAAACCGGGAACCCGATTCGAGTCCTGTCTTCTCCCACAAGTCTCTCGTGCCTAGGTGGTCATGTGTGCCAAGTTTCGTGCTATTTCAACGCTGTTTGGTGATTTTGGGACGTTAACACCTTGAATTCTAAGTTTCTTAAGAAAAAACTTGGAACCCGATTCGAGTCCCGTCTTCTCCCACAAGTCTCTCTTGCCTAGGCTGTCGTTGTGAAAAGGTTCGTGCTATTCTGACGCCGTTTGGTGATTTTGGGGCGTTAACACCTCGAATTCTAAGTTTTTTAAGCAACTAGTTTGTCTAGAGTGAAATCTAGCTCTAACTCCCAAACCAGGAACCCGATTCGAGTCCCGTCTTCTCCCACAAGTCTCTCATGCCAAGACAGTCGTGTGTGCCAAGACAGTTGTGTGTGCCAAGTTTCGTGCTAATCCGACGCTGTTTGGTGATTTTGGAGCATCAACGCCTTGAATTCTATGCCTAGAGTGAAATCCGACTCTAACTCCCAAACCGGGAACTCGATTCGAGTACCATCTTCTCCGACAAGTCTCTCGTGCCTAGGCGGTCGTGTGTGCCAAGTTTCGTGTTACTCCAACACCATTTGGTGATTTTGGGACGTTAACCCCTCGAATTTTAAGTTTCTTAAGAAACTAGTTTGTCTAGTGTGAAATCCGCCTCTAACTCCCAAACCGGAAACCCAATTCGAGTCTCGTCTTCTCCCACAAGTCTCTCGTGCCTAGACGGTCGTGTGTGCCATGTTTTGTGCTAATCCAACGCCGTTTGATGATTTTAAAGCGTCAATACCTCGAATTCCAAGTTTACTCATATCATGTCTAGAACAAAATCAACTTGTTGGTACCTTTTTCCTTCCATAGTTTACTTTTTCTTTATGCTTACTGTGACAACCCTCACCACTGATTACTGTTAAACTCTGACTAAACATAATAAGCAACTGATTAGGATGAAATCCTAAACTGATTGCATGAATGTGTTATGTTAAATGCATTTCTATCTGTTTGTCATTGATTTATCTGTTCATGTTTTAAGTTTCGCACTGTAAATTGAAGGCCTTATCGGCGGCCGAATCTGAAACTGATTAGTGTTTTGTGTTAATTAGAATAAATGTGATTTTATGGTATGTTTAATTGAAATTTGAATTGGAATGATTAACTTGGATTAATTAGTGTTGAACTACATTAGTTGCGTTAATTACCCTTTTGTCATATTAGTGGGCCACCTTGTCAATACTTGTTTGGACTTGATTAATACACATTTGGCATTGTATCTTCTGCCATTTCTTGAGCCCGACCGACTAGAGAGAGAGAGAGTTAGGAGAGCTTTGGTTTCTTAAAATAATTTCTTGAAAATTTAGAGGAATTGAAGGAAGATTGCATAATTGAGCTTCCCTTTTTGAACTTGAGGACATAAGGTAGGATATTTATCTTCTTGATTATGAATTCTAGTTGTACCTTGCATGGTTATTGAGTCTTTAGTGATCTAAGTCTAGAATTAGTTCTAACATGTTGAATTGAAGCTTAAATTATGCATGCATGTATACATTGTTGAATTTTGAGGTTGTTTTCTTAGAATCATCACATACATGTCCATATTTGGGTTATAGTCCATGAATTCATCATGTTTTGGAGCGAATTGACTCATTTGATCATGCATTGGAAGCTTTGAAGTTGATTAAATTCGTGCATGTTGCATGTTCATCATGTTCATGAATGTTTATTTGAAAATGGGTTCAATTGAACTACCTTTGGGCTTTGATTTTGCAAATTGATCTTTGAAACATGTCATATTATGAGTTTTAAAGTGTTTTCCAGAAAATTAGCCCAAAAGGATCGAATTTGATGCTTTAAATGTTGAGTTTCATGCTTGGAGACAAATCTGGAAATTTCAGATTTTGGATCCACGCTCGAGCATACACTCTGAGATCATGCAGTCCGCTCGAGCGAGTAAAGTGACGCTCGAGCGTGAAATGCGTGTATCCAGCACTTTGCATGTGTTTACAATCCGCTCGAGCGAGGGAATACACGCTCGAGCGAGGACTCGTGTCTCACGCTCGAGCGGGGGTTGAGCGCCCGTCGAGCGTGAATTTCATGCATCCAGTACTTTTGCAGTCCGCTCGAGTGAGGAAAGTCACGCTCGAGCGGAGATCCTTTGTCTGCATGTCCGCTCGAGCGTAGAAGCCACGCTCGAGCGAGACCCTTATTTTCTGAAAATTCTGAAAAGTGTTTTAAAGTGCATTTTTGCATCCTCATTCCATCCTAGGCATTCCTAGGCCTAGTTTAAGGCATCTTAATGAGGATAATGCTATAGAACCACACCGAGTCAAGAGAGGGACTAAGTTATTATTTTCCAAACGTGCAACTTAGTGTGTGTTCATCCTGTAACTGTATAGGGTTGGCATC